AGATTTCAACAGAAAAAAAACGTGTTAATTAAACATGACAATTTCAATACATGTAGGAATAGTCGAAATATTTTTATATTATGTATTATATAATAGTTTTTAATTATAATAACTAAGTAAATATAATTATAACACCCATTGAATTAGCCAGGCTAGATATGATGGAATGTACTCTGAATTACAGAACTGTATGACACACATGTAGATTACCGTTTCCTGTCTGACGTTTTGACATTTTGACAAAACAATTCAGCAATTCTAGGCTTATAAACATGTACTCCCTGTTGCCACGGCATTATATTCATAAAACATACATGCAGTGAACTTGAATTAGATGCTTCATTAAACCTGGCAATGTAAATATTTAACCCATAACCGCAACAGTCTCTATAAATAAGCGTATAAATGAGGACTTAAATGTAACATTTGTGCCATGTTTTGTTACAATCCGGCAATAATCTGTCTGTAATACACTATAATTGCGCTGAATATAAAGTCCATTAAGTATTCCATGGTTGATCCAATAATACATTCCTTACAATATTACAGCACAATAGCATTTACACATTATAAGTACAGTGGATTAACTCGTCGCTATGGTTACGTAGTTGAATTGTTGATGATTTTATCGTCACATGTGTTCAAGATAACAAGCTATTAACCTAGTGAGAACACAACTGTGAATTTTCGTAAATGATAATAAGCATTATAATAAAACACACGATGTGAAGTCAATTGAGAGAGTGTCAATATTAAAATCCATTACATTAAAACCAATCTTTTTTTTCTTCTTTCCCACTAATACGTGCTTATAATGGAAATTTTACGCCAAGGTTCCAAGCAGTGGCACGACAAAATGATTGTGATAAAACAGCATATGAGTGTATGAATGGGAATATACTGATGTGGATTCAATACAAAATATAATAATATGCAAAGGTGGTTTTATTAAAAGTGACAATGACATCAAAATGACGCAGTTATACAAATATTACATCATGACATTAAATTCACAGATGCATCAAAAGCAAATGTCTTGATGGCCAACCAGAAAATTTGAAGATATTTCCTGTTATTCCTATATGCTAACACAATTTTAGCAAATAGGGTCATAAAACTGAGTGCACTTCAACCTAGCCTGGCAAGATCACGAGAGTTGCGCCCTCCACCATGCTCCAAACCCAACACATCCCTGACAGAACACAATATAGTTTTTCACATCTCCCGATAATTTGTTGTCGGTACCAATCAAATTGCAGGAACGTCAGAGAGTGACAGCCATCAAAGAGTAACCACTCACGGCTAAGTTTATTTCAGCCCAATGTTTATAATTTTGTTGAAAACAGTCTGATTTTTGTCGACAATGCAGACATGGCTTTGTGTTACAATGACCACCAAAATGAATATTCATTGAAACTCATTGTAAGTAGGAGTGAACTGTGCGAATTTGCAGTCTTTGAATCTTGCCAATCGGCTGGCGAGGGCGCCACTCACACCCACATGTCAGGCTACCATGAACCCTGAAGTTCAAGCCTTTTTGTATCACTTTTACATCACTGACAATTCATAGATACGTAGAATTGTTCGGCATCGCAAAAAGTGTATCTCTAAACGAAGCACACACAAACTGCATAGACGAACATCTGTCTTTAACACAAGTTCCAGTGCTACTAATCGAGTAAATATGTTAGATTGCATGCATCATTATGCACCACTTGATGAAGGCCATTCTACTATATCAACTATATCATGACACAAGTTATCACCATGTATTTTATACTAGAATTTCCATCGAAACAAAATTATTTGATGTTTGGGCCACTGAGTGTTAAATGCTATAAAACAAGTGAATTTCGCCGCTACATCTGTTTGCGGTATATTAATCAGGGATTCAATTGTCTCAAAATTAGAACAGGACAAAATGGCAACTAGCGTCATGCAACATTTTGATTATTTGATTATTTATTTATTTTATTTAACAGTAATTTTAACAGAAAATACTTAAGTCCTTTGATCGAATTTAGAACATATTACAAAAATATCAGCAAATTACTGATGTCCAGTGAGCATCTAATTCACAGCTAATATATGAGTCTATTTGTGAGGAAGAAAGTTGTCTCACAGAATTAAAGATTCCTAAATTTAAGAATGTTTGTGAAATTGAAGCAGTTTCTTTTACATTTTATGGTTTGTTGCCAACCCTAGCTGACCACATCAACTATAACTGGATTCTACTGTGACTATATAACTAGTGATTATAATTGACATATTACTGCACTCAAGACGTACAAAAAGGTAGATGTGATAAGATTACTGAGTAAACATTTTAGTCGTTCAGTCGCTACACCTTGTTGTGTTCCAAAATACATAGCTCGATCAAATTGTGAGTGTATACAGCACAACGATTATTATGCATTAAAGTCAATACTCTTGGGCAAGATCAGTACTAGTATATCATTTGTATCTGTCAGTACAAACTTTGAACTAGAAACTCTACGACTTATTTGTGAACAACATTGAAGTGATTCTGATTAAATAAATAAGGCCTATAAATACGTAATTTGTCAAGATCCCATATTAATTTAATAAGTATATGACTATGACTTCTTCAGATTTTATTTTACCCCAAAAATTAAACAGAGATCTCTAGATTGGAATGTGGTAGCTCAAATCAACTTAATATGTAGAAAGGAACAATTTTAAACTTACAAAACTGTTGCTAGTGACGATATATTCCAATGATACATAAATTAAATGTTGACAGATGATTTATGATTTGTGGGGCCGGGACACTAGCAGGTGTTACTAGATATGCACAATGTTTTATGTAACAAGCTCAGGTGGTTTGTACAGTACTGACTGTTGTTAAACTGCAATAAAGAGGTGTATATATATATATAGATATATAAACGACAAAAAACAGCATGTTATTTTGTGCAGTGTGGGCGTGGCAGGCAGTCAACTAAAGTAATTAGTAAAATGGAAGATTTGATCTCTATTTCATTGTTGAAAACACATCAAATCAAATTTATAGCTGCGTTTTGAGTAAATTATAATCATGGTGTATCAATGTATTTAGCTGCATTACCTTGGACGTTCCTTTATGCACGGTCACGTGCAAGGATTTTCTCTATTGTTAACGCATTCACTGCATCACTGATGAGGAAACGTGAGGCCTGTTTGATATTAGGACTGGATGTGCACCGAATAATAAGCAGACTGTAAGCTACATACTGTAGAGTTGAAATTTATAGATGTCTTACAAATTATACACTTATATACCATATCTGATTTACTGTAAACACATTAATTATTCACTGGGTTTTAATTTCGCTATTTTTGCTGAAAAGTAAAATCTACTAAATTAAATCTACGTGAATATGTAAAATAACAAGAAAACTTATTGTTTCCTTGACAAATTTATGAAATTAAATGGCTGACTCTTGCCGTACATTTGACCAAAGGTGCACATAATGAAAGTATTGGAAGCACATTTTCTGACTAAATATTCACTGGTAACAGCAACATGTTGCTTGACAGAGTTTTGAAAATCAGATGCTGTCTCGTTATTGGTCAGGATGGTGTTTAAAAATCAGATGCTGTCACGCTATTGGTCAGGATGGTATTTGAAAATCAGATGCTGTCGCGCTATTGGTCAGGATGCTGTTTGAAAATCTAATGCTGTCACGCTATTGGTATTGCTACACTATTGGTCAGGATACAGTTTAAATGATACGTATGAAACTGAGAATAAAAAGCTCACACAAACTGTATATATTATATACACAGGATTATTAACATACAAGTTATTTTGATCATAGACATACCTATGTTGTTGATGTTGCTCATCGTCGCAAACCACGCCCTCTTTCGGCAACCGATGGTTTGAGTGGGGCAGAAAAAATACTCTGGTGGGCGAGAATGATGTTACTACACGTAGTACTAATAAAACAAATATTATTGTACACTGTAACATTAAAATATGACTCATTTTGACAATTATTTTTTCAAAGCCTTAAAAATATTATCACATCAAAGTAGGATCTAAATTAAATCTACAATAGTAGCAAATGTTTATTATTATATGCATAAACTGTCAAGTGCTCAATAAATTAACGATTAGTAATAATCAAATAAAAATATTTAATTCAATTTAATTAAATGATTTAAATTGCAAAATAATAATAATGAAAGATACCTGAATGAAGAAAGTGAAATTTATGCTAATAAATATGGTCTAGAATTGACAATTGTCATGAAACACCTGCACGTTAATGTTATGAAAATATATTACAATGTATTAAAGTCATGTGGGACCCATATCAAACATACAGTGACCACACCCCCACACATTCTATTACTTCTATATCAGAAATATTGAAATAGATATTATTTTCAATGATTTTTGACAAGAGAAAAAAACTGCATTAGGATTTGTCAACAAGAGATGAGAAGCCTTACCTCATTTAAAAATAATTAGTCACCTCTGGTTAATTAAATATCCATTACTCGAAAATGGCCGTCAACTTGATTAATTATGAATGCTTGGATATTATACCGCAGGACATATTCGTACAAGTATATTTCACCTACTACTTCGTAAGTGCGTATTTGGTTAATTGCAAATAAAAGTCACATTCGGACTGTGTGCATATATTCAACCACCTTGCACGTAGGCGATTATTTTATGTGTGAATAATTGCTACGATCGTACAATTTACGGTCTGACAGGACTATCGACAAATAATAACAGGGCAATTTTTTTATCATAGAAAATATTGAAATTTGCTTGTTTTTAGGATCATTTTATATCATGGTAGTGGCTTAATATTGTACGCGTCCTTAAACTTGAATACAGATCAATGCCAATGTTTGTCCAATATTACTTTTAGCGGTTTTGAATATATCATTTCAGTACATTCAAGACATCAGTGCTATTATGGGTGTGTCGGATGACTGTTAATGACACCTCGGTGAAATCATGCGTGCATAGTACCTACCATCAAAAGTTAAATTTGTTTGGCTAATGCATTCCCTCCATAGCCCTGCATTTTGAAGAACCTCTGCTATGTCGCCAACTTCCGTAGTGTTGAACTCATCGCGATTTTTCGACAAACTGTAAGTTGACGAAACCCAGAAATCGGTTCCCATTGCTATGCTGTGTAATATTAAAGAAAGAACTCCAGTAATGAAGGCAGCGGCCATCGTGCTGCTCTTGCCGAGACACGCCGCCATCTTGAGAATTTCACTTTCTGTTGACAGGACTCCCTAAGCTCACCCGCATCAAATACTATTATAATGCAAATATATATGGTCTGTTTCACAGTTTTAAACACAAACGGTTCCGTCTTTCAGCGAAGTAGCGAAATTTAATTTTAAATCAACATTTTATTCAGTATGACCTTCATAAAAAACAAACAAATTATGTATAGACATCTTCGTCGACGACTATGTAGTATACATGTATTAAGATTTTTTAAAAACCTTGACTTATTTTCTTTGCTGCTCATTTAAATAATGGATAGTGGTAAAATATCTAGAGAAAAAAATAATGAAATTTAAATAAAAAAATAGTACTAATCGATATATTTTGACTTCAGCTTCAACTGACTGTAGATGCAGAACAGATCGTGAGATAAAATTCTGTTTGACACACAACTCCATACGGATGTCTGTCGGGGTTGAGGGCGACATGTATTTTTAATACTTCGTGGTCGGTAAAATAATTATTTTCGGTTTGTATGACAACATGTTAAATGCCTTTAAAGTTTGAGCTCAAAACTTGACGCACCGCAAAACATCAGGAAAATAGTATCACTGGCAACT